GGGAGGGGGGGAGGATTGAGTGGAGGGGTGGGGGGGAGGCTGGGAAGGGATGGGAAGGGGAAACAAAGGAGGAGGCTAAAATGCTTGGTAAGAAATGTATGCATTATCCTGCCCATGTAATTGTAACCCCTCTGTACAGTATGTTCACAATAAAAATTAAAAAAAAAGGATGGCTATCTTTGACTTTTTGGGGGGATAGTATTTACATAGGAACTAGATGAAATACAACTCTTTTAGAGGAAGAGAAGTTAATGCTTTGTGCCCTTCCAAAATGATCACAAAACAAGCATAAACTTTACAGCATATGAGAGTAATAATCTGACATTTTACTTTGCAAATCCAATGGACTCTGAATTAATTACAAATTAAGTATTAAAAATCTATATTCATCTGATAAAACACTTGAACTTAAGAACTCAAAACAAATCATATCCCAAAGGAAACAAAAACCAAGAGCTATGGTGTTGATGTTTATATATTGAGGTCATAAATACATAATTTTGGAGTTGTCCTATTAGATAAAAGAAATTTTAAATAACATTATTTATTTCCCTGATTTGTGGAAAAGAAAACGAGTTACACTAATAATGTCCTGGTATAAGCAGATGTCAGTATACTTTTTTTTCAAATATGGAACACTTTATGAATTTAGATATTATCCTTGTACTGGAGCCATGCTAATCTTTTGCATTGTTCCAGTTTTAGCAATTTTAGTATATGTGCTGTTGACACACTCAGTATACTTTTAACTAGTACAAAAGCCACTAGCATTGCCAAAACTAATTTGGTTATTTAAACTTACGGTCCAAATGTACAACCATTACATGATAAATGGGGAAGGACTGGATGTTAAGCAGATTTCTAAATAAAGGATAGGATTAGCTTTGAGTTTGTATGGAAATCCTTAACAAGTGTTTTTATTAAGTGAGTGTAAAGAAAACTCCATGTGATTCAACATGGTCAAATCTACTTTGTTCAAAATAAGGACCTCTCAAGTAAGAACCACTAAAAATCATCAAGACTTTTCTAATTATTATTTAAAAAATCTCAGAAGATTCTCCCATGAAAAGAATATTAATTCAAATATTTAATATTAAGTATTAAATAAAATCCATAAACTCACTGAGAGATGTTATGTTGGGATGATGAGGAGGCCGAGGTTACAAGCTCCTTTTGGCTTCTTACTAAGATAGGAGATGTAGATGCATCTTTTCTAACTTCTGTCACTTTTACTGTATGAACAATAAAGGAAATAATTAGTAATTTTATTCAAATACATGGAAACTGAACAACATATTATCGATGACCAGTGGACTACTGAAGAAATAGAAGGGAAATAGAAAAAATTTTCTAAAATCTAATAAAAATATAACATACAAGAATCTTTGGGATATAGCAAAGGTGGCCCTAAAAGGTAAGTTTGTAGGTATAAGCAGTTACATCAAAACAACAGAAAACTCAAACTAATGCCCTAGTTATGAATCTTGTACTTCTTGAGAAACAAGAACAAGCCAAGCCCCAAATTAGCAGATGGGAAGAAATAATAAATAAGATGGCAGAAGTTAATGAAATGGAGACCTCAAAACTACACGAGGAATCAATGTTGGTTCTTTGTAAAAGTACATGAATTGATAAGCTTTTAGCCAATTTGACTGAAAGAAAAATGGAAAAGACCCACATCAAGTGGGGCACTCGTGGCTCATGCCTATAATCCTAGCTATTCAGGAGGCGTTAGGGGCAGGAAAGCCTGTGAAACTCTTATCTCCAATCCCCCACCAAAAAAAAAAAGAAGCCAGAAGTAGAGCTGTGGCTCAAGTGGTGAAGTGCTAGCCTTCAGCAACAAACCTCAGTATCCAGGCCCTGAGGTTAAGCCCAGGACTAGCCCAAAACAAAATAAAACAAACAACAAAAAAAAGATGACACTAACAAAATTAAGAGATAAAATTGGAATATCACAACAAATACCAATGAAATCTAGAGGATTGTGAAGGCATACTTTAAAAACCTATAATCAAATACACTGGAAAAACGGAGAAGAACTGAATAATTTCCTAAATGTAGTTGACTTACCAAAATTAAACCAACAAGATATAAACCAGTTAAATAATTTTAAAATAAGCAATGAGACTGAGCAGAATTAAGAGTCTCTCAATAAAGAAAAAGGGGAAAAAGAAAGAGGGGGAAGCAAAACTCTAAACTTATTCTATGAAGCCAATGTTATATTCACTCCCAAACTAGAAAAGGGTAGAACTAAAATAAGGATCATAGAGCAAAAAAAGTATTTGCAAACTGAATTCAACAACACAGTAAAACAATCATATATTATGATCAAGTTATAGCCAAGGATGCAAAGATGGTTCAATTTACACAATGTATGTAATACATACATTGAGAGATGTTATATTGGGATGATGAGGAGGCCGAGGTTACAAGCTCCTTTTGGCTTCTTATTAAGATAGGAGATGTGGATGCATCTTTTCTAACTTCTGTCACTGTTACTGTATGAACAATAAAGGGAATAATTAGTAATTTTATTCAAGTACATAGAAACTGAACAACATATTATTGAATGACCTGCGGATCGCTAAAGAAATAGGAGAGAAATAGAAAAAGTATCTTTAAAATCTAATGAAAATACAACCTACAAGAATCTTTGGGATATGGCAAAGGCTGTATTATAAAATACATAAATGTAATATAGTATATATAAAAACAGAATCCAATAAATATGTCAACATATAAAGGCTTTATATGCTGAATGGGGAAAATTTAATATTTCCTCTGAAGTTAGGAATGACACAAGAATGTATGCTCCCTCTACTTTTATTCAATATAGTACTGGGGTTCCTAGCCTGAATAAGGAAAGGGAAAGAAAGAAAAGGTATTCAAATAGGAAAGAAAGGTATCCAATTGTCCATATTTGCAGATGATATAATTATGTCCATAAAAGACACTATAATTCCACCGAAAAACTCCTAGATCTGTTAAATACTTACAGCAACATATGAATATAAAACCAACATACAAAATGCAATCGTTTTTTCTGTATACTAATAATTAACAGAGTGAGAAAGAAATCAATAAAATAATTCCATTCACTGTACCCTAAAAAAGTTCTAAGTATAATATCAAATAATGAGGTAAAAGACTTCCACAATAAAAAAAAAGTTTAAGGCCTTTAAGAAACTAAAAATATGAGAAAATAGAAAGACCTCCCATACTCATTACTGGCAGATTATATCATGAAATTGGCCACATAACCAAAAGCAATCTACAGATTTAATATAATGCCCATCAATGTTCAAAAGTCATTCTTACTCCTGGTTATAACCAAAAGCATCATACCTCCTATCCAACTGTGCCTTCTCCTCAGAAATGATAAATATCTGGGAATACTTAATGAACAGCAGTTACAGGAAGAAAGGAAAACTTATATGGCAAAAAAAGTCCTGAAGGCTACTTGGGTTTTGGGTAGGTCTCATCCACCTTACCCACCTGAAACAATTATCCAAGGATTAGGAACCACTAGACTAGCCAAGCATTTATTTGCCCCACCACAGATAAGAACTGCCATTTTGAGTCTTAACTCCTATTACCTACATGATGAGCAGGAAACGTTTTCTCTTTTTCTGTTTCTCCCTACTTTAACTGTTTGACTAAAATAAATCCTTGCTAAAGCTTTCAAAAACAAGTATCAACCAACACCCAAAACAACAAAAAAAGAGAAAGTATAAAAGATCCAAGTAGCAAAGATCATCCTAAGCAAAATGAGCAGTCCACTTCAAATTATATTACAGTGGCACCATCACAAAAACAACATGACACTGGCAGAAAAACAGATACGAAGACAACAGAACTGAATAGATGACACAGAAATAAAATCACACAATTACTGCTACTTTATGTTGACAAAGGAGTAAAAAACATACACTGGAAAGAAGATAGCCTTTTTAGCAAACAGTTTTAAAGAAACTGGTAACTGCCATACAGAAGACTGAAACTACATCTATGGCTTTCCCTCTATAAAAATTGACTCCAAAAGGGTTAATGATGTTATTATAAGACCACAAACCCTGAACCTACTACAGGGAAACATACAAAAAACACTTGAAGATATCCATATGGATATCTAGTAGGACACTAATTGCCCAGCAAATAAGAGCAAGAATTGACTGATCAAACTGAGAAACAATTACCAAAGAACCAAGAGAATGGGGAGAATCTTCACCAGCTGCTCAACAAAATGAGGATTAATATCCACACTACACAAAGTGCTAAAAAAAACAGCACAAGAGTAAACATCTCAATCCAACAAATGGGCAAATAAATTGAACAATACAGTTTTCAGAAAAGGTACAAATGGCCAACAGATATGTGTACAAACATTCAGCATCATTATCCATGAAAAAAATGCAAATCAAAACTACACTAAGATTCTACACTAAGATTCTATGTCATCTCAATTCAGAATGGCTATCATTAAGAAAACAAACAGCAAATGCTGATGAGGCTATGGGGACAAAGATATACCAGTTGATGGGCAAGTAAACTAGTGTAACTACTACAAAAACTAGTATGGAGGTTCCTAAAAAAATAAATATAGATATATCTGGTGACTCCACCATACTACTATAAATCAGTGTACCAGAAAGGCAGCTGCATACCCATGTATATTGCAGCTGTTTCCAATAGTAAATTGGAAAATCAGCCACAGCCCAATCACTAATAACACGCATGCACACGCACGCGCACACACACACACACACACACACACACACACACGAAAGGGGGCAAGAAGGAAGGGGACATTGGGAACACAAAGGAGTTGATACTATTCAAAATATACTATATAATTATATAGAAACATCACAATGAAAGCCTCTTGTGTTCCTAATGCATGATAAGTCAAAACAAAGAAACATTTTGCTACAAATATTGTTTTTAAATCAAATTTGTAGATAAAGAAAATAAATGATAAATGCTTTCATCATCTGCCTAGGGTCCAAAGCTAGTAAGCCAGCATCCATGTCTACACAATCATTAGCACGGTTTCTGTAGCGTAGTGGTTATCACTTTCGCCTCACACAATGAAAATTAGAGTTTTCACCGTTAAACTATAATGTAGTCCAAGGCATTAAAAAGAGGAGAAATTATACCTGGCTCTAGGATTAGGGAAGTTTTGATGCAGGTGGTGGCATTTTGATAGGAAAGAATGGGGAGGATGGACTTTGAAGCAGGAATTTATATTAACAAAAGCATTACATAAAAAACCTCAAGGCTAAACAATTAATGTATTCAAGAAACACTTATTGAACATCACTATGTTCTTATATCTTGCTAATGACTTTAAATGTATAATCTCATTAATCTTGCTTAACAGTTTCTAAATTAGAAAAAGAAGTGAAAACTGGAAAAATGGTAAAGTTTATAAAAATTCACACAGCCAGCAGGGCAAGCTGCATCTTAAATGTAATCAGGCTTGATGCTACATCTCAGATATTTTACCATTTGTCAGATGGTCAAAAATAAACCAAAACACCTCCACAAGAATAGTAGCTAAACTGGACTTTATATAGAATATTATGTCCAAAATGTAGAATAGGGTGGAACAGACAGAAAAGAAGTTCACTCTACTAGTTTTTGGCAGCTTCTTGGGTAATGTAGAGGAAAGTAAGATGGGAAAGTATATGAACAACTGAAATTGATTCTTCTTGTTTGGGGCCTGTGATGAGGCAGAATGAAATGGCAGGAACATAGTAAAGAGCAAAGCTACTCATGTCATGCCACCTGGAAAACAAGGAGAGAAAAGGGGTCCTAATATACCGTTCAAGGGTGCGTCCCCAATCACCTAACTGCCTCAACTTCACAGCTCCTCCTCTAAAGGGTTCTACCACCTCCAGTACCACCAGAAGCTGGTAACCAAGTCTTCCACACATGGCCTGTAGGGGATGCTGTCTGTGAGATCCAGACCTCAAAATTACTGAGCTTCACAAGCCAGACTTCTGGGAAAGACTACCCGTATTGGTCATTTGGAAATTTTACCTCATGATTTTCTTTCATATTCACATGCACATTGTACTGTTAATGCTTTAACTTTTTGACTTAAAATTTTATTTTAAAAATTACATCATTAGCATAAATAAAAACTAGTATTACTTGTGATAAGCAGATGATTAAAAAAATCTGAAAGTGATTTGTGGGTGAGATGAGAGAGAAGAAATGCCTGGTTGTAACAGATTATAAATATCCTTCAATCACTATCACAGAACAGTGGAACATTATTAGTCTTAACCTTTTCTGTTTTGATATTTCTGTTCAATTTGGTTGAGATAACTAATATTTGATGGGTATAATTTAAGGAAGTAATTTTGAAAGAGGATCAAGGGACTTTTTATAATGTATGGATATAATTCAGTAATGTGTGGATACCTTAAAACTGTAACCACAACAACCAGTATATCTGTGCTTACTCATTCTTCTGGGGAGTAGAGTAACTTCATCAAAGTTTGAAAGGATATGAGACCTCCAAAATGGTTAGGAATATTTGCTCTAAGGTGTATGCCATTTAATTATTCCTTTTTCATAATTCTCTACTATCTACTAATTGTAAAAATTTCAGAAATTATATAAAATTTCAGAAAGCTTTTAATTTTGTCTCTTCTATGAACTTACATATCTGTAAGTTTAGTAGAAGTTGTGCATATTCAAATTAGTGGATCCCTGAACATTTACACATACGTACATATACTTTTTTAAAATACAAAAATTTAATACTTTTATTTAATTTTTGAAAGAATATTACCAATTAGACTGATGAAGTTCATATATAAATGTGTATGCTTTTATGTCTGTGAATACACTTAAATACATTTTTGCATGCAAAGATGAAACTGCCCATAATGGATCATGCCCTTTTTATAGATAATTGGTTCTGTCAGCCCATCCATCAATAAACATTTCTTGATAAGATAATTCTTTCTTAGAATTCAGTGATTACAAACCTCTGTTTCTGTGCCCTTTGGTTTTATTTTGTATTTTCAAAACAGTTGAGGTATTTTATATATTCAGTTTAAAAGAATGAATTTTAAGAAAATACCAGTAACCCTTCCCTGATTAACAAACACAGTAACTTTGCCATCCAGATGTTATTCTGGTAATTATTTCATTTCTGTTCTCTGTAGTATTGACATGTTTGTATTGGGTAAAATAAACTTTTGTTTTTGAGCTTTATAAAAATTAAAATATGCTAAAGATATTCTTTTGAGACTTCTTTTGCTCAATATCATGCCTTAACCTTTATCTACATTAATGATTGATATAGTTACGGTTTTATTTCTTTGCTATGCAGTATGACTTTTAACAGTTCTGCTAGCAGTTGATGGATGTTTGGAGTTAATTCTGATTTGGGGCTGTTCAGAAGAATACTGTTGTTAGAGAAGCAACCAGGTATCCACCTAAATATACTCTTTCCTTCTTTCTAGCTACACAGCTAGGTCAT